AAATAATTATCCCTTCTAGTTACGACCTTTGTACTTTGGTTCCTGTTTGAAGTAGGTTGCTAAGCCTTTAAAAATTTGGCACATGGAGGATATGAAACAAAATATTATTTTTTTAGGTTTTATATATATACATTTGAATAACTAAAAAAATAATAAATTATTACATTAATACAAGTTATCAAGCTTAGTAACTAAGATGTATTTTAATCTAAAAAAATATGAAATTTTGAGCAGACTAAAGACACACCCTACCTCGTTGAAATACTGGTTCAAACAAAAGAATTGGTACCCAAGCCCATTAAAATGTCTGAGAAAGCCGCTAGGGGGTATTCTGAGCTTCCGATTGGTTATTCATGTCATATACAGAAGTAAGTGTACATAAGGGAGCATTTCCAAAAATGGAAAAAGGTGGATGGGGTACCACTGTGTTAGATGTATTACATGAGCAATATCTTAACAAATTGAAAAGATAAGAGGCTCTTATTTTATATTCTAGCTTATCAATATTGGTAATTTGAGTTTTTAATTTGTTCGAAAATGTAGACTTAGTATTTTGACTTCACAAACATCTAATTTGAACCAGTGCTGCATTCAATATACCACGTGACACAAAAATTAATGTCCATCTGTGTTTTTTTATAATATTTGCTTTTAAATTAAGAAATTTAGTAATATATAGTACTAAAATTTGAATTATAATCTACAGTTTGATAACAAACTTATTGACATAAATTCATGAAATAGTAGTTTAATAAAATTTTGAATGCGAGTCAACAAACGAGATGACATGGCCTTTCACCCGTGACCGGTCTCGAAAGGGTTAATATGTATCTACAATATTCTTTTATATCATTCTTTTGCTTACTTAGAAAATAAAAGATTGTTTTATTTCTAATGTGAACAAAAGTTAAGTATGAGGTGGAAAATGTTTTCTAGTATAAAAGTAAATCTTTATTTTGTTTATTTAACATTAAAAACTTTATTCTTTGAAATATGATGTATTTTAGTTTAAGTGGTTTGATCAACAGCACATGACTGTAGTTTTTTAATGACACCACACTTGTGCTATTATTACTACATCATGACTGTAAGTTTTTTATCGTATAAGAAATATGATTCCTTATTAAATTTGATGGTCCTTCTTTGTAGCATCGAGAAACTGAAGAGAAAGAAATACCTTTGATAGATCACACCTGCCGAGAATCTTCTTCATCCAATAGTAAGATCAAAAACCATGATCTTCTGGTGGACCTGACACCAGAAAATGGATCAGAAGGTTAGTTACACCAGAGTAACAATGGGATTACTCTCTTCATTGTAATAAGGTGACTTGGGAGATATTACACCAGAGTAACAATGGGATTATTCTGTTCATTGTAACAAGATTATTTAGAAGATTTTACACTGGTGTAACAATAGGATTACTCTCTTCATTGTAACAAGGTGACTTGGGAGATTTTACACCAGTGTAACAGTGGGATTATTCTGTTCATTGTAACAAGGTGACTTGGGAGATATTACACCAGAGTAACAATGGGATTATTCTGTTCATTGTAACAAGATTATTTAGAAGATTTTACACCAGTGTAACAGTGGGATTACTCTCTTCATTGTAACAAGGTGACTTGGGAGATTTTACACCAGTGTAACAATGGGATTATTCTATTCATTGTAACAAGGTGACTTGGGAGATTTTACACCAGTGTAACAGTGGGATTATTCTGTTCATTGTAACAAGGTGACTTGGGAGATTTTACACCAGTGTAACAGTGGGATTATTCTGTTCATTGTAACAAGGTGACTTGGGAGATTTTACACCAGTGTAACAGTGGGATTATTCTATTCATTGTAACAAGGTGACTTGAGAGATTTTAGTAATTACCAACGGGTTCCATATAGGTTTTTTTTTACATATTTTTCCAAACTGTTTATGCAACAAATTGTGTGTGGGTTCATGACTTCATTGGTTACAGGTGATTAATATCATATAAATCACACACAAAAATTGGAAATGCTATCAATATTGCAATTAGTATCACTAATTATTTAATTACTGCTGTATTTTGTTGTAATATTCACAGATAAGGATTAATTTCATTTTGGGTCAGTTTTTTACATCTGGAGAAAAGAACAAAATCCAGTATGTGATCATTGTAAAAACAATTTGTGAGTTAAAGGTTTTGCACATTTTATATTTCCACTATTTTTGTATCAGGTTTGACATTAATGTTGTTCACATTTGGTTTGCAGACTTTTCGCTGTTCCAGACTGCCCTAGGTACACAACCAACAAAGTAAGAAATGCTAACTTTCATCTCTTCCTTCCATGACTTGTGTCTAAGTGAAGTAACTGGTTCGCTTATAAACTGTTATCTGTGTAATTATCTGAACTTTTGGCCAAATAAATTTGTTTTGTGAGCATATTGTTCTTGAAACAACTGATCTATGTACTTGTCACTACTTGAAACAACTGATCTGTGTACTTGTCACTACTTGAAACAACTGATCTGTGTACTTGTCACTACTTGAAACAACTGATCTGTGTACTTGTCACTACTTGAAACAACTGATCTGTGTACTTGT